GCAAACAATTTCTAATATATTCATAAAATGCAATAAGTTTATATGTTTATTTTTAAAATATAAACAAATAAATTGTAGCATTAATTTTTTTTATATACAACTGGTTATTCTATATAATCAAAATATAGTATTATTTGATGTTCGAATTAAATTATTTAAATATGTATTCTTTGAAAATGAGTAGCTAAAAAAGGTTATGTTTTAGTTTAGTTATTAACATATTAATGAACACGGCAGTGTCATATCTTTCCGATTTGTTTCTTTACCTACTTATTTTGATTTTACTGGATCCTTGATGGAAATGTAGCAACAAGACTCGGAAATACCTAACAGCAATACCTAAAGCACGACCTGTAAGCACCATTTGATTTTAGGTCTCTTTTATATATATAAACTGTAAGGTTTTTGCGGTTTTCTCAAGATAATAAAAAAAACTATTAAATTTCTAACAAATTGCAGATTGTAAAAGAATGGGAGACAAACAAAACTTGGCTTCGAAAAGACAAAATTGAGGAGGTAGAGATTGGTTTAAATGGAACACACATACATCTCGTTCTCTACCACGAGGCCTCTCTCTCTAATAAAACATAGTGAAAACCGATTGCTTATTTTAACTTGGGCTTGATTGGGGGAGATTCACAGCCTCATTCTATATGTTAGAATGCGAATGCGGTAGAAAATAACACTTCACTTAGATGAGTGTAAATTGAAATTTCAAAGAAGTTCTAGCGTTCCTAGAGGATATAGCTCAAGCATTTATTCGACCACAAAAAATATTGGGAGAATGGTAAATAATTTGGACCAATTTTGTTTGTTTGATGTAAATCTTCTTACAAACGCAAACATTTTTGTGAGATTTTTGCATATTGGTTATATTTTGATGTAAAAAAACTCATATGTTTATCTAGAATCTTTGAGTTTTTGTGTTTTTTGGGATTAATGTTTATTGAAATGAGCTATTGTAATGATTTATACAACGTGTAAATGAGGTAAAGATAGGAACATATCTAATTAGTATGTAAAATCAACAAAAGATGTATGTTTTATTTTTTTAATACGTATAAATATTTCAACACTTTTATTTTCCAAAAATGAGAGATTTGAGAGGAAACTAACATGTGTAGGTTTAAAAAGATTCT